TTACATACATGCACAGTACTGCCCAACGAAGTGGATCTAAAATGTGCATGCATTTGTTCATAGTGAAAAAGACTTGCATAGGACCTCCCTCACTGTCACCTTGCACGCACCCTTCCTGCCAAAATCGTAGCACGGGAGGATGAAGATCAGTCCTGACTTAAGTATCTGGCATGTGCGTAAGCAGGCAAACGCCAGACGCCAGGTTATGCGGAATCACCTTGAAGGACCGATTATTAAAGTCCCTTATTTGCGGACAAATATCGACGATTGGGGGAGCACAATAACTGAGTTTGCCAGATGCTACAAACAAATACAGGAGCCAACTAAAACAGGCAATCAAACCTCAAACCCTGGTTGCCGGCACGCTTAAAGTTAATTGGAATAATGAGTTTTCTCATTACAACAAGTTGCAACAACAACAAGTTGCAATTGGAAATATATGCTGTCATGCAGAAGTGATGTCCACCGATTTAGGCTGAGCGTAGGGCAAACGTGTGCAAGATCGGAATCGCTTAAGTAATGCTAGGGGACACACTGACGAGCCGGTCCCCTCACAGCTGTGTCAAGCAGCGGTAGAATACCGGTGAAACACGTGTCTAGGCTTTTTAGCTAGTACCTATGCTGCCAGCATGGTGAATAATTCCATGAGTTATCCCACTGTCTGTCTGCTGGCAGCTTGGAAATATTACGGGGTTACCCAGTAGTGGCTGATGGACATCGGCCAAAATATTAACATCAAATTTTGGTCTGTGCTTACAGGCCTTGAATAGACTGATTCAGGCAGGGAACTATAGATGGGCGCTGGGAAGGCCAACGTGCACAATAACCGGTTACTTACAATTTTTAAGTAGGGTGAATTTTCCAATACCTAGTTTTTCGTGCGCAGGCCGCTGGTTCAGTGGGCGTTTAGTGATGATTTTGAACTATAGAGGGATCCTCGGAAGGCCAACATGTGCAATAACCGCTTAAATCAGTTTATTAGGCAAACCGACTTTTCAAATTGACCGTGGGAATAACCACTTACTTACAAATTTTAAGCAGAGTGAATTTCCACAATCTTCCAATTGTTCGACCGCCGGTGTTGATGCCGTTGGAGTTAGAGATGATATTAAAAAATGTATCTCATTCACCTCCCCCAAGGTCAGCGAACACCCCCCAACATACACGCGCTCGCCTTTGGTCCAGTATAGGTTAGTGATCATATTAAAATGTACCTCAGTAACCTCTCCCAGGGTCAGCGAACTCACTCCAACTTACCCGCGTACCTTTCCTAATATACGTGATTACTGCGCCCTGATTTGTCCCCCACTTTGTCCCTAAAAACCAGGTGCCCTTATTGGAGAGGAACGCGCTTCGCGCGCACTGTGGGAACCCTGCGATAGTTCTTTACCCTGATTCACTCCAAGTTCAAAAATTAATTTCTGACGAAATTTAAAAAAGCTAAAACTTTTGAAAATATATTTCACTGTCGTGGAAGCAGAGGTCCACAGTCGTCGTCGATTGTCGATTATTTAGGGGCAGTTAAATACACATGAGTGCAGAATCCAGGGACTTCTTTCACGCCAAAGGCATTGGTAAATCAGGTTTTCTAAAAGCGGTCCCTTGCTATCGAAATACTAATTTCAGCGGTCTTGGACCCCAGGTCGTTCTCCATGACAGTTGCGCTAGTCTCCGGTTATATTGGCAAAGAAGTTCGCACTGCCGCTAGTAAAACCTCTCAAGCCTAGTTCCGTGTATTATAACAAAGGTGACGGGCTTGAATTGGTCATGAGCCTTGGTGTCAACTGAGGC